TTTGAGACATCAAATCTAAAGAATGTTACATATTATTACATATAACTTAAATAGTGAAATTTTTATTTACATAATCACACACTCAAGATATTATTTAATGATAGATAATATTTAATAATTTAAAAATAATTTTATATATTTAATAACTAAAAATAATATAGATAAATTATACATCAATATTGACACGAAAAAAGATGATGGAAAAGATATATATAACATAAAATATTAAGAAAGTAAGTTTATAAAAAATTCTTGGAGTACGTGATCTGTGATTCCCCTTTCTCTCTATATATAATATATAATCAAATAATGATCGATCTCAAGTTGATCACAATAGACAAAATGAGATTAAAACAATACATGTGTTGAATAAGAAGCATCTTCTGTTTTTTCTTTACGTGTTTTTGGTTTTTTATGATATGTTCAACTTTATATCTCAATATTCTATTTTGAGTTACGTACCTTTTTACCCACTTTACGTAACTAGTAGATAGCTTACCCTATAGAGAACGGAGGGTTTGGACCATATATTTTCCACAGAAGTGTGTAACAGCTAAGTCTATAATCTTGACGAAGAGGATTTGTAATAATATGATTTAGAGAAAAGATAAATATGTACATCATTCTCTTATGGCTTCTATATTTATTTTTATTTTTATCATATAATATATCTTATATGCTATTCTCTTTGGTGGACAAATAAAAGACGTATTAAAAAATTAATCATATATTATAAATCTAAATCCATATTCTCAGTACAGAAAGAAATACCACAGTTTTTTTTTATAATAATAACTAGGTCCATATTTTTATGTGAGAGTAACTTTTGGAATTACTATCCTTCTTATTAAATTATATAACTTTTCTTGCATTAAGTAAAAAATATTTGCAATTTCTTTTTCTCATTCGAATACCTTTTAATTAATTAACTTTATATAAATTTAATTTAAATGTTAAATTTTGATAGGTTATATTAATTTAAGAATATTTTAAAAAGAAAACTGTAAGATTGCTGTACTTTAATTCATTAACTTTAATGTGATATTTTTAAATTTTGAAGTTAACACAGCTTACAAATAAAAATGTTTTACTTTATTAATTTTAAGTTTTTGTCTTCTGTTTATTTTTAAACGCAGGGAATTTTATTATTGTTAATAAAATACACACTATTTTAATTTGTATTTATTTATAGATTTATTTGAATTTGCAAATACCTGTACAATATTGAAGATTCTTACTGGTTATTGGTTAGTAGATTACAATCGATACTTTTTCTTTATTCTACTAAAATTTAGTGTTAAAATTTCATAGAAAATGTAAGATGTAATATTATTAATATATTTCTACCACAATTTTTTTTAAAATAATTTTGTATTTGTTAATTTCATATTCATTGTCCAAAAATTTTGAAATCCAACTTATTTATTGGACACATGATTATTTAATTTTTAATAATAAAATCATGTTAAAAAAATGCTAATATTTACGCCCGTTAAAATATCTGTAGATCTAGGTACTCTTACATATCTATCATTTGGCGTGTCACTAAAGTAGTTCGATGCACTTGTTAAAGCTACACAACCATTCAAGAGTTTATTTACGATATTTAAATTTATTTTGTGATATAAATTCTGTTAATGTATATTTTGGATATCTTATAAAAATAATTTATGATATATTTATAAGTTAATTGTAACTTACTTTGACAAGGTATACAAAATAATCTATATGAAAATAATTTAATATCATTTTTCCTCAACTATAAAAATAACGTATACATAAGTATTTTATATGATAAATATTTCTGTTTCATTTTAATTAAAATTTCAATAATCGCATAAAAATAAAAAAAAAATTGAATTAAATTCTTTTCCATAAGTAATTGTTCTAATTTAACCACTAGTCTTGAATTAGAGTTCTAAATATTTACTTACATTAAATATTCAAAAGAGAATTTTAGTGCTCATGGTGATTTTATAAGTTTGAATGAACAAATTTTCATATAGAAAATACACGTGTTCTCTACTAAAACGAAATCTTAAGTTAAAATTGTTGTATATATTTTAACCTTGAGGAAATTAAATAGTATAATTTCTATATAAGTTGAAGTACTTAAACTAATTTTAATTTATAAAATTTTTTAATTTATTTTAACCTCTTATTTTCTTCTACATATACTTGTAAATCTAAGCATTATTCAATAAACATTTAATTAAACTATTTACCTAAACATGCTTCATATTGGTTTGACTTCACTCATCAAAAAAATATTGGTTTGATTTATTACCGTTCATTGCTTAAGATGAGACTTAGTTGAATTTAATTAATATTTTTATTGACAAAAAAATACAAATTTATTCCAACTTACTACAAGTTAGATTACAATTAATTTCACCTAATTAAAAATAAAGGAAGAAAAATATTAAAAAATAAATATAAAAATTCGAATAACACAGCAGTTGTTAATTCATAATAAATACGTCTAAATAATAATAAAAAAACTTTAAAGACACTCACAAAAAAAAAAAAAAAAGAAGTTTGACTCGACTTAATATGACCCTTCTCAACGTATAAAAAACAATTAAAAAGTAAAGCACCATTTTTGTAGCTGGACTAGCCAATTAGCTCAAAAAACACACAGAGAGAGTTGGAGACCAATCTAGATCCAAGACACGAAAGCCCAACACAAAGACGAAACCCTGACCAAAAAATTGATAAAGACACCTTAAGTAACTCATGGTAACTAGGTGCAAATGTGATATTCTTTTTTCCTGAGATTGTATTGATTCTTCTTGCTTTTGCCATCTCCACTCAAATCTTTTTTGGGTTTTTCTTTTCTCTCCACCTACTTCGTGCATGTGAAACTATGAGCCATTCTCTCTTACATCCCAAACATCAACATCAATTGCATGCCTTAATCAAAATAAATAAATTATTTGAATCTTGCAATGAGAGTATTATTCACTATTGAAATCAGGGGACAATTTGTTTATGCTAATTACCCAAGGAAATTATTGTTTCTAAACATTTTTTTCTTCAAAATATTGAAGTTGTTAAGCCTTTTTTTCTTTCTTTCAAGAACTATCTTTTATGTTACTTGTTAAACAAATGGTGAACACAATTCAAGAAGTGAATTTGGTTGTATTTTTTTTTTAGAATTAGACCAATTCTTTTAAAAATGATTTTAATCAAGAGGTATATTGATTTTGATTGTTAGTTTCACACTAATTAAAAATTTATATTTTTTTTATCTCTATTTCTAAATTAAAACAGACCAATTCTTTTAAAAATGATTTTATCTCATTAAATTATTTATTTATTTTTTCAATAGGACTAACAATATATTAGTTTAGAATGATTTGGTTATCAATCTTTCAACTAAAAATTTTCAATATTTTTCTTTTTCTCACATTTTTTTATTACTAAGGAATATTTTTCGTTAAATACCAAGACAAATATTAAATACATAAATATCTTATCTCAATTTGAGTATTTTGTATTTGTAAAAGACTCAATTCTGACTACTTGGTTAAGCGACTTTAATCTCTTATCACTCGTGTCAACTCAAGTTGGTATAACTATTTTACAAATATTTCTATAACTTGCAAGAAAATAAATCTCAATCAACCATCTCAAACTAAGATTTGACTCTTTTAAAGTGAGTGGTGTACTTTAAAAGATAAAATACACTTAGAATTATTTACTATAAATTTTACGATTAAAATTTGTGATACATCAAATTTTGCAAAAATAAAATTAAAATTAATTAAAATTTCAATCATTATTTTTTTATTATCAATTTTTATTGTTAAAATTTATTTTCTAAAGTGTAATTCTATCACTTACGAGTAGCTAGATCTTTTAAACTACTTATGCATATTTATTTACATGCATATTCAATATTTTAATCACTTATCTCTTTTAATTTATATATTTTTTTATCTCAATTTCTAAATTAAATTTCAATAGTTATTTTTTAATTTTCAATATTTAATAATAAATTTATTTCATAATTTAAATAATTAATTATAAAATTAAAATATTATATATAT